GTATTTCAGGATTCGAAGCCGATTTTGACATTGCTTTCCCACTTGGCTTATTCAGTCGTCTCTTTTTGGCAATGGGTTGACTTGCTGATGGCTTGACTTCATCTTCCAGTGTATAGAACAGCAAGACCGGGAATCGTGTACCACTGAAAGCGTCCCGGTTCAGAAACATACGAGAGGTTTTTTCGTCGTCAATCTCCCACAGCACATCATCATGCTTTAGCAAAGCCACATAGTGTCCACTGGTCACCTGCACGGTGTCCCCCTTTCGGCAGAGCATTCCCTTCAATCTGTACATTGGAAGATTGCTGGGGAGTATAGCAGGAGGTACGGCCGAAACCTGCGCTGGGTTGATAGTTTCGGGAATGTCAAAAGGGTGGATCACTTGGTGTGCGGAGGCGTTTCGGAGATCCCAGACAATGTTGAGGAGTAACATGCGGGGCAGGTTGTTGGATTCCAAGGACATCTTGGCTCGTGCTCGAGTGACAGCCATTCGTCCATCACATGGTACCGAAAAGCAATGTTGGGGACTGCATGAACGCCACAATGAAAGGTTCATGAGCTGGATGAGGTTAAGTGATGAGCCATGTGGATAGATTTGGAGAACGGTCATTTGCCTCTCCAGTGAGGATGTCTCTTGCCTGACAGGGACTGCGTGGGAACAGGGCTGAAAGACATATTCCCAGGTTACTCCGAATTCGAATGTGTTCCGAATCGGGTTCTGTTCAATGATCTGATTGAATTTGCTTGTCATTCTGAGAAACAGTTCACACGGATCATGCTGAGATTCTTCATCTATCAAGTTCTCACCTGCATGTCAGCAAATGAACATGCTGATTGGCAGCAATAATGGAGGAAGGGAACTCACTTTGGAGGATCGGTACAATGTCCTTCAGATCCACCAGCCGTCTAGTTACCGAAATGGCTTTAAGAAAGTCACCTAGTAACACAATCAAAGAAGGTGCGTGAGGCCTGAGAGCGTCATTAGCTTCGTTGAATGCGGACACGAAGGCTGGAATTCGGAAGACAATATGGAACAACGACAGAGCAAAACAGGATTGAAGATAATTCTTTGCTCCAACAGGTCGATCTCGTGGTGGTAGTGCGTCCCGAGGAATGCCAGCTTTTGTGGGGGCTGTCTTTTGGCGATAAGGATGCAGAGGGCGGTGAGCTGCTGGACGGCCACCCTTATCAGCCTCTGGTCTTGAAACCGGTAACGTGGCAGTGGTTGAGGGCTGGTCGTCAGCATGGTTGAGGAATCGGTTTCGGCGGGTAATGGGCGAATCGGGCTCGACAAAATCAAGGTTGGCACTATCAATGCTGATGAGCTTGCCCTGTTTCGGAGGCTGCTCGGAGGACCAATCATGCCACACAGGCTCCGAAGGGTCATGTCCCCAATAGGCAACAAGGTCTTCTTGATCCAATGGATAAGATATCTCTCCTAACCGTCGTTGTAGCTGTATAGCTCGAGTCTGCAGTCGCAGTTCGTTTGCCGTGACACCATTAGAATACTTTTCGGAGGAGCCACAAGTGTGAAAGCAGTACAATGCCCAGAGACCCGAGCACCTTTTGCCTGTTTCGGTAAAGTATCTGCAGGAGCATCGTTCACGAGTTTTGTCTTTGATCCCACAGTAATGTGAGTCCGGTGTTGTTTTGCTCGATTCGGATGATGTCACACAATATGTATGATCTAATTGACCTCTCAATGACATAGGCATCTCGTGTCCGAAACATTCCCTAACCGCCCCTTGCTCCCAAAGCTCCAGTCCTTGAAGTATGTGTGACAGAACCGTGGGGTCACAGCGGGCAGATGTTGGTGGTGAATGGAGATACATGGGAAAGTAAACGTCGATGATGATTGTGAGGAGTTTGTCTATACGTTTGTTGGCTCGAGATTCAAGGAATACTCTGTCAAAGGTCCGAAATGCCGCTTCGACAAAGTTGTTTGTTGAGAGAGTACCATCTCGGGTGTGATGAGGTGGCAGACCATAGTCGACAAGGTATCCCCTCCATCTGTCGCTGAACCATTCAGACAGGAGCCAGGTTCTGATTTTGTCCCAAATTTCGGGATCGTTATTGCTGATTGCCGCAACATCGGCTTCTAGTCGAGCAAAAACTTCTGACCAAGACTCCTCTTCGGAACATCGTTGGCACCTCCGAAGTGCCACAAGGAAGGCAAAGGCCTTTTCGGTACCCACCAGATCACTCCCAAATAGCCGAAGTGCTCGAGATCGGGCGGCGTGCATGAAATGAAATTGGCATAACCGAATTGGAGTTCCCGGGAACACCTCCTCAATGGCCTTTCGTTCGGCGTCATCACAATCAATCATGAAATGTAGTGGAAGGAAATCCTCCTCGTGGATGTATTCGGCGTTGATGAGGATTTGCTCTTCATTCTCATATTCGGAGACCACTGATGATTTGCCCTTGAGTAATGCTTTCGCTTCTTTCTTGATAGCCTTTCGGATAACGCTCAAGAATTCGGTGTAGGAATCGGTGTTGGCGTGATTCGAGACCATGACAGCTACTGGAGCATTGTCAGCTCCGAAACAACCCGAAACCCTTCAAACCACAAGACTCACCAGGGACCATATGACCATATTCATTCACTGTGGCTAGCAAGGTGACGGGACAGCGTATTGCATTCTTATTTCTCCAAGACGAATCAAGAAAGAGGCCCCGATCTGTGGCATGCCGAATTGCTGATTGCAATGCATGTTTCGGACTGATGATTGCAATGAACGAAGAGTCCGCTGGGAATGGCTGAGTGCCACCGAGTACCAGGCCTTCAGGATATTCGCAACTGACAGTCAGCTCATGAGGACAAGGAAACGCTGGCTACATACTGCAGGAAAGAGCTTGGATTGGCCTCATGTAAGATACTTATCGCCGCCAGTGGTAGCCGATCCAGCCTTTCCTGCCGCAGAGCCGTTCGGATGGCAGTTTGGAAGTCAGTGGTGGTAGGAAGACGCTCGGGATAATTTGCCTTGACCCATAGGACATAGGGGTGAATCTTGCAGAAGGAATTGTACCACCGAAGCCGAAGACGTGACTCAGTCGTTCCCACCAGAGTTGCAGCATCGTGGAGTAGGTTTCGGAGATGTGGCGAAATCCGAAGTAATGTCAACGGGTTCGGTTGACCGTGATATGCAGCTTTCGGGCGGATCAGACAACAGACCCCTTTTCGGATATTGCTGGGAGTCATTCGTATCTAAGAACATGAGCTTAGTGAAGATGAATCATCCTTAGGTGACCGACCTCAAGAAAAAGATCACACTTTAAACGTGCTCTTGAGGAATATCGTGCGCTGGCAGCAGTTGGAGGGTGAGCTTCGGCTGTTGTTTGTGTTTCATCCTTTGCTTTCGGCTCAACATGGTGGTGGACACTGTCCAAAGTTGGCTGGATCTGGGTACAGTTGCCACTGCATCGGAAGATCGACCGAAACACTGTCCGATTCGGGTATGACGCGACAGCACCGTCGGAGACAAAGAAGAGGCCATGTCTTCCCCTGATGTCGGCGGGTAATAAACCAGGGGGATCCAACCATTCCACTTGAACACATTTGGATATATGCTGGGTCTCAATGAGGTAGTCCTGACGCTAATATATCAACAGAGTTACACTTCCGAAACAGCAGAACACTGACCAACGCGTCAAAGGCTTTCGGAATATGATGAAACGCCACCTCAAACTGTTCATAGCGATCATCATCCACCAGGTCAGGATTCGGTAATCGACAGAAGGTTTCCAAAGCACGTATGTTGACCCCAAGACTAGCATCGGTGCGAGGAGCTTTCAGCTCCAAGACTTGAGCCTCAGGACGTGGTACGGAGTATGATTCGGAAGAGATATTGACAATTCGGAAGCGCCCGGCCGCCTCTTGCCTGGCAGTCATGATCTCATCTTCCACCGAAATAGGATTCAGAGGTTGAGAGGGAGACCATTTCGGAACAGCAGGAGACAATGAAGCTGAGGGGGAGGCCATGACAAGCTCTGTCCAGGGTGCCGAGTCGGGTGTCACAATACCAATACCGTTGGAGGATACAGGAGTATTTCCTGAGGCAACTCTCCTGTCAGTTGATACATAAGGGGGGTCCGAAAGTACCCACTGGGATCAGCCGTGGACAGAGGCATCTTGTGATTGGAAGATTGGGGGAGAACACTCTGTGGGCTTAGCTGCGAGGGTCCGGGAAACTGCTCTGAATTATTTACTGAGCATAAGCTTCAATAAACCAAAAGGAAAAGGGACTGTCTTACAGGGCACCGAAACCGAAACTGACTGGATTTCCGAAGCTGCCTTATAGATAGAAGAAGACTCAGTACGTTGGGAAGGACCGGCTACATAGTTAGTAAGGAGTAATACAAGTTTCGGGGAAGAAACTGACATGTTGATGGTGTTTGTGCACTAGGAGCATAAACTTTCGGAGGTCGACCACGAAAAGGCGACTTTCTCTTTAAAGCGTTCAGAATGAGTTGATCAGCTTGATTATTCTGAGACATAAAGCTTGTAATATTAAGTGAGTAAGTCACTGTTGTGTTTAGATTGAGAGAGAGAGAGAAGAAGTAAATGATTGTGCCCCAACACCGCCAAACAGTGCCTAGGGTTGAAGGAGACATCCTTTCGGGGGCGTTTCCGAATTTGATCTCCAAATGGCTATAGAGAACCAAGGACTCCGAATTCGGAGGTTCTGCCTGCATGAATGGCTTCAGAATACGTGTGGCAACACATAGATATGCAGGAAGCCACGGTAGGATGCATATTCAATACAGGGGGGATTTGGGGACATTCCGTAGGTATTTGGGTCAGTAGTGGAGGGATCCTCGGGTTGAGTGACGTATTTTGGGAGAAAGTGGCAAAATTTCGTCGGGATTAATTCGAGTTCCGTCGGGATTATCCCTACGCGCCACTTAGTTGCATGTTGCAACTGCATCTTGACTGTGTTAACCTTGACCTGCTATACTTGGTCGATCTCGCCGTTCGCAACGAGACAGCAAGTTAGACGATGACAATGTCGGAATCGAACCAGGCTGGTCCTAGCTATAGAGAACGGAAACGAGTACGTCGAAGAGAATACGAATCCATCTTACCAGATATCAAACCGAGCATCTACAAACTTTCCATACCCATTCCCCAAACTCTAGCAAAGAAATTCATCACTTCTGTCCCATCTCATAATCCAAAGACCGTATCTCCTGATGAATCATTGCCATCCCATGTGTCTAGATCTCACAAGGGTATGGGAGAGAGTACGGACATTCCAGAAGTTGACGCGGGGGATGACGGAAGAGACGGAGTGGACAGGAGTGAAGCAATCAGAAGAGGCTGGATTACTCGTCGATATAGAAAGAAAGTTTCGGATAAAATATTAGAGACTTCTCGTGAGATTCATAACTATCAATCCAAAGGATAAATCTAATAAGATAGTTGAAGAGAGACCAAGTAGTAAATTCGACTTACCGGGAGATGTCAGTGTTCTCTTGGTTTTAAGTAATGAACAAGAGCTGATGGATAGGATATGTTGATAGCTATACAAGATCACACTGGAAGGTTTTATAAACAACATGAATTATTACTCGCTCCTAGACGATGGGGTCATGCTGTTGGATCTAATGGACAGAGACATAAGCGTGGTGGAGGTGTGAAGCAGATGGGGAAGGGTATGAGGAGAAGAAGAAGAGTCCGGATCGAAGAGGAAGAAGAACGAGAGTCAGATGGGAAATCGATACAATCCAATGATAAGATTGAACAACGTAGAAGAACTGTTCGTAACAAGACTGGAGAAGATCAGGGGGTAAATGAGACGGATGAGGATGAAGTTGAACTCAAGGATCGGAAAGATGATGATTCCGATGAGGATGAAGAGGATTCAAAAGATCCCGATTACGAGCAGGAAGATGATGACAAAGAGGAGGAGGAGGAGGAGGAGGAGGAGGAGGAGGAGGAGGAAGAAGATTCCGATCATAAGCAAGATGAAGAAGATGAGTCCGATGGAGATAAACCGGTTGGTAATGCTCAGTCAACAGGCTCAAAAAGCAGAGGAGGGTATAAAAGGAGAGATATGAGATTAGCCCTTGACGGTTCGGCTCTTCTCGCATTGGGTATGTCTAGTCTCTTCTCCATTATGTGTGGTGCTAAGGACAGGCTGTCTGGTGGAGGAATGGGTCAAACAGGAGTTGAAAGAAGCGGGTTATGTGTCTGAGCCTCAGATGTAGGAGATCTAGACTGGCTATACTAGTTTCCCAAACTTCATCATTCGGGGAGCGAAGTTTCGGCATTTATCAAAAATGTCTCAATCATCTTCCTATGACCCCATGGTCGTGCTCCAAATACAATGACTGCTGTTCGCCACCAAGTTCACTGTTTAATCGATTAGTTCCGAACACGAGCGTTGCTCGGCACAAAAAGCAAATTTGCATGGTGAGATTCAACTGATGTACTGTCATTTAACTTTACTAAGCAGCCAACACCTCTTGTCTCTCTACACCCACTTCTTCCGTACTCGTACCATTCACCTTTTCTTCACTTTTCTCACCTTCCGTCTCTATCGTTTCTTTCGTATCATCGGTTCCACCCTGAGATTCTGCCATACTCATCTCTTGGATCCTCCTCACTATATCCTCAGCTTCTACCTCATCACGAGACTTTCCTCCATTCATCATTTTGTTCTGAGGAGGTTCCTCTTTCTCTCTTCCACAACGAGGACAAGAACACCAAAACCCGTATTGTTCCCTTAACAAACGACGTCGATGCCATTTCGGTAATGCTATATTGACGTATGAAAGTGTGAGTTCTTCACCGGGGTTTATATTACGTCGAGCGAGCATCGTGAGTTTGTTTGTCCCTCTCACACCTTGGGCATTGGGAGGTGGAATCTCACGAGGGAGTTCGGATGATGTTGGAGGGGTAAAAGATTTAGGAAGGTTACGAGCCTTGAAAGTCAATCAAACAAATTGTTTCCTCGAGAAGAGAAATACTCACTTGTATATTTGGATCACATGAATGATTGAAATGAGCATGCAAAGCATAAATCCCTCCGGAATCTTCTTGGTTCAACCCTACCAATCCTAGTAATTCAAGAAAACTATCGAAAGAAAACCATTGTGCTGCTTCCTCCGCACTAAGCGGCACGGCTTGAAGCTTCTTCGGTCTACGTGATGTTAAGAGTTTGTGAAATGCTTTGTAGCCTGGATCGTCTGAAGGTGGGTTCAACACTTTGATTAATAATTCGTGGGCGTGATGCCATTCTTTCAATCTGAGTTCACCGATAAATTCCCTGTATATCAGCTTCCAAGTCTAATTGGACTTGAACGAGTACGGTACCAGGACGAGATGAGTATGATGAACGATGAGAGAGAAGGTGTAGGAAACTCACCACTCCCTCATCTGACTCTCTTTCTCTAACTCACTCACACGAGCCATACCTCCCCACACACGTTTTCTAACTTCTTCACCCTTTTCCAACCCACCCCATTCCCTCTCCCCTCTCCACTTGGCGATTATCCGGGATACAGCTTCCAAAGGTCTGCTTCCCTGTTTATGGATCAGAGTGAGAAGCTCCATAGCAGCAGGGTTTTGTCCAGGACAGAGAAGATCATGATGGGCCCCCGAAGCTCTGGCTTTGGAGAGACAAAGACGATTACAGAAATGGGCCATGTCGCATGACCCGCATGGGACAGAGAGGGGAGGATTGGGACGGGAAAACATGGCGAAGCATTGAGTGCACATGCGCTGAGAGAGGAGGAATGGGTAGAGGTTTCTGATTGTCAGTCGAGATGTCCTTTGTTACTTAACAACTCACAAAGAGCCAGTTACATGGATCGCGGGCGAGCCTGGTAGTGAGATGGGGGTAGGAGAGGACTCACGCATCCGCAGTGACGACCCAAGGTTCCTCTTGCCACAACACCTCTCCTTGAAGGATTCTCTGCTTTGCAACTAGACCTTTACCCCGTCCATCAGAGAACATCCTAGCTTTCACTTTTGGTGCGATGGAGTTGACGTCTAAGGTAGGATCCAATCCCGTCGTAGCGATGAGGTTGGTTCTTGTGGTTTCGACAATAGCACCGTGATCGTGATCGTGATTGTGGTGAGAATGATCGTGATCATGGCCGTGTTCGTGGTCATGGCCGTGTTCGTGGTCATGGTCATGCTCGTGATCATGGTGATGGTCGTGGTTGTGATTGTGCGCGTGGCCATGATCATGAGCATGGCTATGATGGTGGTCATGGTCATGGTCATGGTCATGCGAACATTGTTCACCGTGAACATGATGATGAGCTTGCTCAACTTGCGGGGGGTTTAGAGAAGAGATAATCTTCCTCAAACGTTTCTCCGATACTGCCCAATCCATATGTTCCGTCTTGAGCTGAGCAAGAAGCTTTGGAACACCCAACGAAGGATGAGCCGCGCGGAGGTCTCTGACGACGGAGGAAAGAGCGTCATCGGGTGGTGATACGACTTGGGAGGGAGGGGTCGCAGTAGGAGATGACATGATTCGGAAGGGGTGATGTAGCTGTATAGCTGGAGAGTTCAAATGAGAGCAAGATACGTGGTTGAAAAGAAGAGAGAAGTAGTACAGAAGTAGAAGAGAAACGTTTGCGTTGTCAAGACTTTGATGGAAATTTCGAGTGAAATTTCTAACAAAACTCTTTTGATCTATTGTGCATACACAACATGACATCACCCATACAAAGTTCTGATAGAGATAACGAAGAGGACCTACCTTCAGATCTACTCTCAGCTGCTGAGGCACTCATTCATGCAGCCAAGTACGAATCCCTCACCGTCATTCAACAGCTACTCGCCTCCGGAGCTCCCGCTTGGTACCAAGATCCCGATCTTGGATGGTCATGTTTGCATTATGCCGCGGAGAGACGAGATCCAGAGCTCTTGCGAGCTTTACTCAAAGGTGGAGCCGTTTGGAATGCTGTGGATCTATGGGGTCAGACAGCTGGAGAGGTGTGCATAAGTCTGGGAGATCAAGAATGTTGGGAGGTAATCCGGAACGAAGGAGTAAGATCGGGTAAGTTGAAGCTCTGGTCACCTCTATGTGGACTATTGACTGATGATAGAAATGTTACATCATATCCTCAAGGATGCTGGGCAAGAGAACGGGACAGGGCTTACTTTACGAGAGAGAGATGATACATCTGCGGGAAATAACGACGAATTTCTGAAGAGCGAATTGAGATGGGAGTTGGGTGAAGATGGAAAAGAAAGAGTATTGGATGCAGATGGTAATGGGTGAGATTCCCATGTTTCCTAAGTATTTCCACGCTGATACGAAAAGAGTCATGATGGGTTGGGAGGAACCTCTGAGTGTGTCTTGCGATTTCTACTCAGATGTCTGACAACTGACAAGCAAGTGCAAGAACATGTTCGTCTAATGACTGTTCATCATCCCGATGCTCAAATCGGAGGGGAGGGCATGTCCATTCTAAACATAGGTTATGGTTTGGGAATAGTAAGTTCCTCCCTCTTTGATGTCTGATCTTCTATCTGTGAATCACTCATCCACGACCACATGTCCCTTTCATCTTCATTCACATGGTGAGATCGTCAATCTCTCAATCATCCGGCATCTCGGCAAGACACTCTCGCAGTGATCTCAGAGACATGAGGGCACAAAGTTGATAATCAAATCGATCGCCTTTTCCAAGATCCCCCCACCGGTCCCGCTCCACGACATCACACCATCATCGAAGCCCATCCTCAAGTCTTAGCGCACATGCGAGAACAGGGCGTTTATCAATGGCCTAATGTGAGAGTTCTCGAAGGTCGATGGCAAGATTGGTTACTTGATTTAGAAAAGTTGGGAGAAACGCTCGCAGGGACCCCTTCTGGAATGGGCTTCGGAGCTGTTTTTATGGATACTTTTGCCGAAGGATATGAGGGTGAGTTTCGACGAAAGAAGATAAAAGAACTGATGAGAAGAGTTGAAGAAGTTTTTCGATGTCTTGCCTGATATTCTGGATGGGGAAGATGCCCGATTTTCATTTTGGAACGGTCTGGGAGCTACGAGTCAGTCATTCCTTTCCCCACTGATATCAAAGCCCAGATCTTAGATTTGCCCATCTCGGGCAATCTTCAGATTGTTCATAAATTGGATGGAGCGCCAACCAATACTGATCGCAGCAGACGCCACGATCTATTCAGTCTCATGCAATGTTGCTGAACTTCACATGGAGGATGTAGGTCTTTCGGTCGAATGGCACGATATCTTCATCCCCGAAAGTCAAAGAGAAGAAGTATGGAGAGGAGTCAAAAGAAAGTATTGGGATCTTCCTGGGTACAGATTGCCCATCGCACAGATGGCCAGTCCATCGCAATGAGGACGGGATAATCCGACGACCGGCTACCGGGCCGATGACCGGATCGACCGGGAGAGATTTCGGAGACAACTTTTCTCCAAAAAAAAAGTGAACATTCCGTCCCTGAATTAACTCCTTCATGCCTTCAGCTCCTGATGTTCTGTTCCCTCTGACCCTGCCCTCTGCTAAATCTAGTCCGTCCTTCTCAGAGCTGATGTGGGGCAAGTCTAGACTTTCGATGCATATGACTCTTTTCCCACGACTCAACTGCTCAAACTCCACTCACTCATCCCCTTGCTCGTATTCTCATTCTTGCTTTTAACACCCCACTTCATCGCTGATCATATCCACTTTGACGATCACTCACGACTCGAATCGCCAAAGTGATTGACCTCACAATATCAAAGATACGATAAGCTCCCTTGGCAGCTGATACCATCCCCAACCATCTCACTCAGAGTCGACCGTAAAGGCCGGCCCTCCATGGATTGCGCGTTCTCAAATCCTATTCTGCGTGCTTTCCCCCTCCCCTCAATTCATTCTCATTCCGATACCGACCCAGATCCTGAATCATGTCGTCTTCGAATGTTGACAAACCCGACGAATCACAAGTTCACTCGAACGTATCGATCGATAATGTCCAACATAATATCATCGAGTCGACCGACTCAGAAGCTCCATCTCAGACGGTCCACTTTCCCAATAATGAAGATGAACTCGATCCAGTACCCGAAGAAGAAACATCTGCTCCTCCATTCCAGAGAGCCTTGACAGTGATTTCATCCTCTGCCACTCTCGCTCATTTGACCGATCACGAGAATGACGATGAGGACCATGGCACCCCGACTGACCCTCAACCAACGTCTGATCGTTCTGTGGGTGGTCAACACGATGCGCCTTCCTCCAACAAGGAGACCACACAGGTGACACGTGCACCGTCGATGATCAAGGAGAAGAAACACATGTCACATTCTCCCACTTCACCCGGTCCACCTGTTCCTGGACCTAGACAACCACATCAACATGTCGATCGACCACCACCGATTTACCCACCTGACGTTGTTGGTATTTTCGATCCCGCTGCTGCAGGTGGAGGTGGTCCCCTGGTCCGAATAAACACTCAACGTTCTATACGTATCGAACAAGAAGCAAGAGAACGAGCAGCAAGAGAAGCACAAGGTCTTCCTGCAGAAGAAGGTATCATCACACGTATTCGATCCTTTTCTTTCTCTTCTCGACCTATTCCTAAGAAACCTCTCAATTTAGATATTCATGCGCATCCAGAAGCTGAACATGAACATGATACGGACCATGAAACGGACCATGAACTTGATTCTCATTCTGGTCCAAGACCCGCTTTGAGCTCAGCTTGGAGTGCCAAGACGTTGAGGGATTCACCGAGAGATGAGAAGAACATTCAGCTTGGAGAATTGGAGAATGGTAAGGTAGAAATACATCTGGAGACATGTGAAGAACATGTTTATCCGGATGGAGGATATGGTTGGGTGGTCATTTTGTGTTGTGCCACTTTGGCAGGGTTGGCAATGGGGTAAGTTGTTCATATTTTCATTGGAGTAACAAGTGCTGATGGTCAAGATGGGGTATGGTATGGGGTGTTTTCCAAGAAGTATGTTCATGCTTTCGAACAAGAGGAAAAAAGCTTATAAAGAAGTATATCACTGCAAATAAGACTTTTGATTATCCCAACCAAGCGGTGTTAAGTCTATGTGGGACAACCACTGCTTTCACGGGTTTATTGGTGTCATTCATCTTTGGACGTATGGGTGATAGGCTTGGGTTCAAGGTGTGTCAATATGTTCTTCATTTCTCCCCTACCCTTCACTGTCCTCAAAGCTTGTATTTCATTCCCACTTCTCCATAAACTCTAAACGTTCCGAACGGTAAGACAAAGTGAAGTATGACTAACAGTTCAGAAAGTCCTGATCGCCTCGGCATTCCTAGCATGGGCCAGTATGTTCATCTCGGCATTTTCCAAAACTTTAGGAATGTTCCTTACCTTCTACGTGAGTCAATCAACTGCTCCATGATGTGTCTCAGAGATAACGAGGATAGGGCGTATTTTTAGGAATCGCACAGGGTATGACAATGCCTTTGTTCATGTCCCTTCCTTCGCAGTGGTTCTACAAACGTAGAGGGTTAGCGTCTGGATTAGCTATCGGAGGTGCAGGGTTAGGTAAGTTTACATATTTTGCCATCCAACCTTCTTCTTCTGTGATTCTTCCCCACACGAGCAACACTGCAATATCAGTTTCTGTATGTGTTAAGATACAAGGAAGCTGATCTTGATAGGTGGAGGTATTTGTACTCAATATGTCCGTGCGCTACTCAATCGAGTAGGATTCAAATACTGTTTGATGTGCGTTCTCATTTCATACCTGATTCTCATTCCCACACCATATCCTCAACTCTACACCATATCCTCATCTCTACACCTTATCCTCACTTCCACACCGTATCCTCATACTCGATGCTATGCCGGAGCTCGAGGAGACAGGAATACTCAGCTACTTGATACACCCGAGTAAGTGTGGGTCAGCATGACTGACCCCCAGTATCATGTCATGCTCTCATTTCTTCTTCTGGCTCCTCGCGGCTGTCTTCATTCGTACCCGTCCCACCTCACCCGAAGCTCGCAGTCCTGCCAAAGTACCATGGATCAACAAAGACATCATGGTAACGTCGACATTTTGGAGTTTAGCCGTCAGTCTCCTGGTAGCTGTCACAGCTTATGGTGTTCCGTTCAATTACCTCCCTCTTTGGGTGGAGTTAGAGATGCCCAATATCAGTGAAAGTTTGAAAGTCCTGTGAGTGATCTCCTCCCATCCCCCCCGACACTTCATCCCTTTTCAACTAATACGTCTGCTCATGTTTGATGTATCTCGAGTGCAAGCCATGAGGGTATATACTGTATGAGTAGAGTTGACATGTCATAGTCCAAATACTCTTCTAGGTTTCTCTATGACCATCGGACGTATCCTTATAGGGGTGGTAGCGGACTGGATCGGACCCATCAACGCTTATATCTTGGTGTTTGCTCTTTCAGGAGTGATACAATTCGCAGTGTGGTTAACGGCTACCACTTTGGCGCAAGGTTGTGTTTTTGCAGTTTTATATGGTATCGTGAGTTTGATTTTCTGTCTTCACCTTCCCTTCACTGAACATAATCCCTCACGACACATGTTCGATGTCTTTCATCGTCAAAGACCTTCCCTCTCATCAGATTGAGCATCTCATGGTGATATTGGGGACGGAAGATTCCGTTCAGTGGTATCAACTGGTCGAAGATCAATTGCTAGAGAATGTGTTGGTTGGTAAATGAAATCGTTTAACCTTCAGATTGCCACGGGATACATCAGTATTCTTCCTCAGATCATAGTCCAGCTATTCGGCCCTCAGAATTTAGCAACGAACATGGGTCTTGTTCTTCTTTTCTGTGGTCCGGGAAACTTCATCGCGGGTCCCCTGGGTGGAGCTTTATACGACGCGACAGGTCGAACAAGCTTCAAGTGGGTTATCATCGTTGGTGGCAGTTTGCAGATCGCAGGTGCTGTTGTAGCTCTTTGGGGTGAGTCAATGAATCTACCTACAGTTCTATGGGATATGCTGATGGTTTAGCCAAGTTGAAGACTGATAGAAGATTGTGGGCTAAAGTATGAGTAGAAGGGAGATTGAAAGGTATTGCTAGAATTGCTCCATCACCACAAGCTTCTTCCTCACGATATCTCTTCCCCTGTGATTGTACCAATTATAATTCCCTCTCCAATCGATCCGATCTCTTCTTGCTAGTCAATCTTTATGTACACTTCCCATTCTATTGTGCATGTACTTGGTGCACATAGCTGATACGAACACATGTATAACATGACTATATATACTGTATGAACGTTCGAAATGTCGTCACCGATGTGCTGCCACGCGCATCTTTCTCAATTCCTAGTTGTCACCTATTTTACCCCCTCCCCCTCTCTAAGTCTCACTTATCACTTCATCATCACATACCAGGATGCTTCCCATCCCACGTAGGACAATCACAGTCGCTCGTCATTCATTCTTTACTTCAATCCGACATGCATCCTCCCGTCCCACCGATCTCCACCCCGACGATTCCGGACGATTAACCGGTTCTGCCAAACTCTTCGCCGATGCAGAGAAAGAAGAACACCTATCTTCTCACTCCTCTCGCGATGATCTGGTACATACTCAAGGACCCATTTGGACAGGGGAAGAATCGCAATATGATAATGTACTTCGAATGCTTGTGGACGCTCATAAACCACTTCGATCGGGAGGAGTGAAACCCACTTCTTCCGATGATAAGATTCACAACTGGATGAAGACTTTCGACCCTCAACCTCGTTCATCCGTATCCTCTATAAAATCAACAAAAAGCATGTCTGCAGAGAACGGTAACGACTCAGAAGTGAAATCAGACGACATTGAAACAAAACAACAAGAACAAGAACAAATGACCCCTCATAGAACTACTATCCCACCTCATCTACACAGACCTTGGCATTCCACGTACACAGGTTCTTCATCCTCTCAAGATCAAACACCTAAAGTCAAATACGGTACTTTCCTTCAGAAAAGAGCTTCAGGCGATTCTTTGGTTAATGATCTGGAATTACGATTGCCACATGGGGCAGATGGCAAGAATAGGCAGAAAATTAGAGAAGCGAGGAAAGCTGGAAAGATGGTGAGAAGGTATGAGAACGCCAGAGAGGGAGCTATTGATTATAAGTTGGGTTTGGGCGAAGTAGTGACGGGTGTGAATGTAGATCAAGATGGACAGTTTAGAGGGAATAGACAAATGAAAGGGAGTAGTGTTTTGGGAGCTGGGAAAGGTGGATCGAGTGGTTTAAGAGCATGGGCGGGGTTGGTAGAGGATAGGATACAACGTGCTAGGGGTGAGTTACTAAACGTCTATCCATTACAATCTCCCCCTCAATTCATCTGTCTACCTGTTTTTTTTGGCATCAGGGTTATCGTCTAGAGCGTTCTGAAGTCACTGGGGTTGTTTTCGAGGTATGTCGCGATGGTCGCTCACACGCAGAATCGGGCTATCTGAAGGTCACTACTGGACTCGGTAAGCCAATAGCACGAGATCCAGAAGCTGGTAATCCACATATCGGTGAGAGACCCCATTCACGAACTGTACTTCAGCTGACTTGATGAGAAACGGGAGAGCTTCTCATGTAAATCTCATCTGATACATTCTCCGTTGCGGCTGACATCACAGGAATCGCATCGTTAAACGACAAGGTGCTTTACCTCCATGGATAGAGCTACAAAACACTCTCGATGCTGGGTTATCATCTTTTCGCTCTACCCTTCTTTCGACCTACACCACTCACTTAGTCCGAACCGTCATGTCCACCAACTCACTCCACCCTCTACCCCCACTTCACTTAATACCTGGTAACGACGAAGCTTGGGAAGCCCGCGAGAGAAAGTTTCATCAAGAGAATGTGAAACAGATCAATGATCTAGTAAGACGTATGAATGCTCAAGCCCCGACCGTAGTACGCAGACCGTTGATAGACCTAGAGGTAGAGCTGGAGAAAGTGCGTGGAGAGCAATTGAGGCAAAGTGTCTGGGAAGAGATCAAAAGGCGCGCTGAGGATATTTCCTTGCGTCAAGGAAGCTCTCCTTCTCAGAAATCGGGGCCAGGGTTTCTGATTGACCCGGACAGTATAGCGAAGCTCAAGCAGGCCACGAGGAGATCGTTATGGACTATAGCTAGACCAGTGGCTTCAGTCCTGAGTAAGGGGGTATCCGGGTATTCAGAGGGAGAAAATCAAGGACACGGTCACAACAATGGGGCTACCTCAGATCAAGCAAATTCACCAACATCGAGCCCTGTGCGATTTCTTATCATCACTGGGGTGGGTCTTGGCCTCTTGGTGTATTTGCGTCAACCTGTGAAGAATGATTCTCTCTCTCCGGAATACATCCCGATCCATTCGACGTCCATTTCAGCTTCACAGGAACCTGCGCAGATCGTCGCCGCTTCTCCCGCCGAACCTCGCCTCACCCTCATTCTCGCTTTTCAGATTTACATCTTCGAACCCATCGCCACACTTGTTCGATTTTTCCATCTCGCGCTCCTCTTCGGTCCCGTCATCCTCCTTTCTCCCATGTTGGTGGTCGGTAAGCCCTCAAATCCTAGACGGCGCGGTAAGCCCGTCATGGATGAGGAAGAGAATTGGGGTGCACTGTGGTGGTATAGCTTTTTGGTCAAACAGATGGAACGCGCCGGACCGAGTTTCATCAAGCTCGGTCAATGGGCTGCATCTCGTGCTGATCTCTTCCCTTCTGCATTGTGTGATAGATTGAGTAAATTACATTCAAACGGTGATCCTCACTCTATTCGACATACTAGACGAGTTATAGAACATGCTTTTGGATTACGATTTGACGATATTTTCGAGACATTCGAGGATAAACCTATTGGATGCGGGGCGATAGCCCAGGTATATCGAGCGACATTGAAACCGAAAGTCCTCCCCGTATCTGCTCGCAAAGAGGTCGAAGCTCAAAGAAGGGATCCTGAAGGAGAGAATGATGACGAACAATTATCAACCTCAGTAGCTATCAAAGTTCTTCATCCCAGAGTACGTAAATTGGTTCGAAGGGATATTGCCATCATGTCAGTTTTCGCCCGGATCGTCAATGCTCTTCCAGGGATGCAGTGGATTTCTTTGCCTGAAGAAGTGGCCGTTTTTGGGGAGATGATGAATTCTCAATTGGATCTCAGAGTGGAGGCTGCGAATTTGGAACGATTCGATGCCAACTTTCGAAAAAGAGGAAGGATGGTGAAATTTCCCCAGGGCTATTAGATTAGGTAAAGGATGGGGGTTCAATGGGTAGAGAAGAAAGTAGGGATGTATTGATTGAGGAATTTGAGGATGCTCTTGCTCTGAAATGGTTTATGAAACATGGAGGTGGGCCATTCGATGAGCGAATAGCTACTATAGGATTGGATGCTTTTTTGGTGAGTCCTTCGTCCTTTTTTCTTGTCATGATGCACACGCAGCCCGATTGATGAAGTAGGAAATGCTTTTACTCGATAATTGGACTCATGGTGATTTACATCCGTGAGTCCAAAATTCATTACTTTATTCATCATCTCCTGAAGAATCAAGAAAGTAGGATAGAATGCAAGAGGTTATAGTTGACTTTTAGAGGTAACATCATGGTTCGATTTTACAAACCTACATCTACCGATTATCTTTCCCCACTAATCGATCGTTTTACCGGTTCTCATCGATCACCGTCTCCACCTCCTACAATACCTCACATTTCTAAATCCTCTTCTGAATTAATTTCCCTACTCTCTTCTCAAACACATGACCGAGAGTCCTGGCTCAATCATCTCACGGCATTAGCAGACCAAGGTTATTCTCCACAATTAGTATTCATCGACGCGGGTTTAGTGACATCTTTAAACGATCGTAACAGAAAAGATTTCTTAGATTTATTTCAAGCAGTAGCTGAATTCGACGGATACAGAGCAGGTAAATTAATGGTGGAACGTTGTCGAACACCAGAATTAGTGATCGATGAAGAAACTTTCGCTTTGAAAATACAACATATCATTCTATCTATCAAATCTAAAACTTTCAGTTTATCTCGTATTAAAATATCAGATATTTTAACTGATGTTTTAAAAGCTATTAGACAACATCATGTTAAATTAGAAGGTGATTTCGTTAATACTGTCATTAGTATTTTATTATTGGAAGGTATTGGAAGACAATTAGATCCTGATATGGATTTATTCAAAAGTGCTTTACCCATACTCAGACAATTAGGTAGACAAATGGGTACTAGGGATGTTATCGCTTCTACACCAAAAGGGAATATCTGGGCAATGATCAAGGTGAGTGAAAGGGATATTGTTCTAAGAATGATGATATATATTAAGAGTGGATTTGAAAACTGATATATAGTTATGGGTTTGGATAGAAGCTAGAGAAGTAGCTGGAAGTGTTTCGGCTTTTGATGAATGGATCAAAGTGGGTCAATGTTTTATGTTTTGACTTGTCCCCT